GGTCTGTATGTCCTCCGGAACTCCAAGGCCAAGTGTTGAGGAGGGATGTCAGAGGAAGGGGTCAGCTGAGACAAGCAGATCCTGTCTTGTTTCCAGACTAGAGAGAATAAAGGCCTCTGCACACACACCGCCCCCTCCCCAAGCTGGCCACTCCCAGAAGGGCCTCTTGCCTCCCCCCACACTCTGGGAAGGCCCTGAAGAACTTGCCCTTCCTCCCGACCCTGCTCTGGGAGCCACAGCCAAATCTTGCTCCACTATTGTCCAGCAGCACCCCACTTGGACCCATGGCCTCCCAGCCCCTGGGGACTTCTTGGCGGGTACCTGGTCTGGCTCCCCCCGCCCCCTCCCAGCATAGGGAAGAATGTGTTGCTGTCATCCTATCCTCCCTCCCCGACCCTAGCCCAGTGCAGAATTGGATTAAGAACAAAAATACGAGCTGTGTTTGTTTTAATCAGCTTCAAGACATGGGGGCTTCTAAAGGGAAGGAGAGCAGGCCGGAGGCGGCCCGGGGCAGGCAGGCCGGGCGGTGATGCCATCCTGGGGTCAGGAGCACACAGAGCAGTGAGTGCATCCGCGGGTCAGATCCCGGGCCAGATACGGGCTGAGAGAGGAGGACCTGGGGGCCGAGGGCTGGGGCTCAGGGAGGAGGAAAAGGATGGCGGGAGGGAGGGGAGACCCAGGTTTCCCCCCCACACACACACCCCAGAGTGCTGGAGTGAGGCGGGAGGGGAGGGGAGGTGGGAGGCCCAGGGAGCCCCTGTGGAGAAGAGCAGCAGGGAGTAATTCTTTCCAGAGGAGGGGCTTCCTCGGGGTCTCTGGAATGAGGGATGATGGGAAGGAGTTGAGGGAGGGTCGACGATGATCTCCACCACCCATTGCAGGAAGAACCCCTAGCAGGGGCTGCCACAGCGCCCGAGCAATGGTGTCTGGACTTGAGCTTCGTGCCCAGATGTGCCAGAGCTGCGGGGACACAGGTGCTCACGTTAAGTCAAACATGTGGAATCCAGTGGAAAATGGGAGGTGTCAGGGCCAGATTGAGGGAACCTGCCTGATCCCTGGGCAGATGTCAGATTTGATGAAGAACGGGAGTCTGCAAGGTGTGGAGGAAGGACTCCGAGGTGGGAGCCAGGAACCTGGGTGCTCTGGGACCCTGGGGCATTTAAGGAGAAGCCCCTGTGGCCATACAAACCTACACTTGCTCTATGAGTGTCTGTGCTCACATTAGCTCTGTGAGCCAAAAAAAGGGGCTCAGAGAGGTTCAGCAACTGGTCCAAGGTCACACAGCCAATGAGAGAAGAAGCTGGTACAGTTACCTAAAGCTCAGGATACTAGGCCAGTGCTCCAACCCCTGTGGGTTGAACAGCCTCAACTAGTTCTCAAGTCAAAGCATCCAGATGGAAACAATGATGTCAGACAGCTGAGGGCAGAGCTCTCAGAGGTCCTTCCCAGAACCCTCCTGCTCCCCAGCCACCAGGCACTGGGAGAAGGGCCTGGATGGGCTCTGCCCACACTCCAATCGGACTCTGGTGCTTTGGGCCACCCTTGCCTGGAGGTACCTGTGAGGGGGCGGCAGGAGTCTGGGCCAGCCCTGAGACCAGAGCACGGGCTCCCTGGGACAGATCTGGGTCTTCTCATCCAGGTCCACAGAAAGGTTCTGGTCCATGACGATGCTGTTACCAGTTGGAGGTGAAGGAGAAAAAACCAATAGTGAATTCGTTATATGGTTACATTTAGTGAGCTTCTAAATTTGAAATGATACCTTTTTCTGATTTAAAATGTTCTTTCTTTCTTGTTACAAAACATAATGAAAGCAGGACTTCTAGAAAGTCTATTCTTGGCAAAATAAAAATTGTCAAACCTTTTCCTCCCTTCAGTTAAAAGCAATTTTTAATGGGTCCATAAAAATCCCCAAGTTTGGGAACAACTGTATATTATTTATTTGTGTTTTTTTACAGATGTATTTATTTATTTGAGAAAGAGAGTGCCGGCGTGCATGTGTGGGGTGGCGGTGTGGGGGGCAGAGAGAAACTAACTCTAGGCAGGCTCCACACCCAGCACAGAGCCCGACGTGGGTCTTGATCTCACAACCCTGAGATCATCTGAGCGGAAACCAAGAGTCGGGCGCTTAACCGACTGTGCCCCCCAGGTACCTCTATTCTTTATTTGGAGACATTCTTACCTAGCCTGAGACACAGTCTGGAGCTCTGCATGCTACAAGTGCTTAATAAATGCGGATCACAGGAATTCTCACGGTCCAGGTCAGCAGAGACATGGATGGGAGGCTTGGGGTGGCTGTGCAGGCCTGAGCAAACTGCTGCATTTCCGCCTCAGTCTCCTCTTCTGCAGAGGAGGAGGCAGGAGCATTCGGTGACCCTGAGATGGATTTCAGTGGCAACATCCCGCAGCTCAGGCGAGGGCAACTCTGAGTTCTTGGCACGTAGATGAGGCCTGTCTCAAGCATGGAGCTCGCAGCCGTGCCCCAGGCCGAAGACTTAAGGGGGAAGACGGAAGGATGGTCTTGTCCAGCTGGCCCACGTGAGAGAATTTCTAGCATCAGCAGCGGAGGGTCTGCCAGCCGCGAGAAAACAGTATTACCAACAGCAGCCAGGACTCAGGCCCAGATGAAACGATGGCCCCTTGCCCACTGTCCCGAGCCTCTGGATGCATCTCCCAGCCCCTGCAGGCTGGGACCAGTCTCGGAGCCTCCCCTCCACCATGATCACGCCACCCTCTGTAGGTCAAGTCCATCGGATCCAGTGCCGCTTAGCCCCTACTCTGATGCCAGGTGTGGGGGGCGCATGTGTTATCCAGGAAAATGGTGCACACAGTCATGATGCATCATTTCATGTTCATGCGGGTCTTGGTCAAGCAACAGTAGTCAAGCTTGTTAAGAGGCAGTTGGACGAAACAAAATATGACCAGTCTCTACCCTCACAGACCAGCTTCTGGAAAACACCCCTACTGACCTGAAGAGAATCCAGAGGAGAGAGGAAACCCATTCCGCCCCCAGGGAGCATTCTGGCTAACGGAGAAGGTGGGTGCTCTGCACAGACCCAGCAGTAAGGTAAACCCAGAAGCAGGAGGTGTGGACTGCTGGCCAGCCATCGAAAGGGCCTGGACGAAGATGTCTCTGTAAGCTCTGGAGCTAGGTTAGAATGCCGAGGGAAAGGGCCGAGGCCATTCCACTCCTCTCTGAAGCGGGGCCCTCAGCCACTGCGGGAGGCAGGGCTTGGCCTGCTGGAGCAGACACTGTCTCCGGGGTGTGGGTGACGTTTCCCAGCTTTGGTCTGGTTGTGACGCAGGAAAGAGGCAAGTTTGCCAGGGTCCTGGGGCACAGGGGGAGAGGGCACTACGGCCTCCACAAAGTGTGGAAGGGACAGGGCAGCTGTGGGGGAGGGTGGGGGCGGCTCTCCTACCCCCTCAGGCAGCTCAGCTCTGCACGGTCTCAGCCCCATTCCCCCGATACCAGGGGACACCCGCTGCTGACACCATGGCATTGGGTTTCCCCTGGGCTGGCTCAGGCTACTGTCACCAGGCCTGCCAGGAAATTGCTGCTGACACTCGGGGAAGGGCCCAGGGAAGGGCCCAGGAGGTGGGAGGCCAGGATCCTGCCGTCGGTGAGTTCCGAGCAAGCAGCAGATGGGCTGGAGCAGGGGCAGACCGTTGTGGCTCTGAGAGGACTGTAGCCACAGAGCTGGGCCCTGCATCTCCATCTTGGTCCCGCTCCTCTTGCGCTCTTGCCAAGAGGCTGGGGAGCCTTGGAGCTTGGGGCCAGCCTGGCTGCGTGGGGTGAGAATGGAGGGGAAGGGCAGCACTGTCCAAGGTCACAGGACCCCCTCCATTTCCCCACCCCCAAGGTTGTACAAACTGGCACCTTAGCATCCCTCCGCTGCTCCACCCTCACCAGGCCACGTGCCCCTGCTTCACAGGGTCCCCCACCAGGTTTAATCTGGAGAGGAATCATATCCCCCTTCTCATGGGCTGTCCCCTGTCCCGCCCTGTCCCACTGGGTCCCAGACAGCCTGCTCTTCATCCCCCCGCCCCGTGCCATCCCTTTCTCTCTCCCTCTCTCCCTCCCCTGCCGCCTCTCTATTCTCTGCTGTATTTAGTAAGATAAAAACATGCGCTGGCTCCCAGGTGCTCCTAAGTATTTCAAAAAGTTGGACAGAAACTGGGGAGGGCTGGGGGTGAGTGGCAGGAGGGATCCTCAAACTGGGAATTGAGATCCTCCAACTCTTACTGCCTCCGGAGGTTCTCCACTAGAAAGCGTGTGGTTACATGCTGGGGATGTTGGGGACCACAGCACTCTGCACTCTCAAGGGTAATACTTATAGGAGACTGGGCTCAATCCCCACCTGCAAAGAAACATCTGTGGACTTCTCTCCCCTGTCCCATGGCTCACCATCCCCCATCGCAGATGAAAGCCCTCCGTCCGGGACTGTGACCATCCCCCAGAGCTTTGATCCTGGACTATCACCCTAGCCGCAGCCCCAGGCAGGAGGACCCAAAGGAGAAGCAGGCCCAGGGAAGTGCAGGAAGGGGCAGGCCCATCGGAGGAAGCCCCCCAGGATGCCAGGGTAAGCGTGGGGATGGCGAGCATCCACTGTGAGTACAGGGTAGGGGCGGTGGGAGTCCAGCCAGGGACCCCCAGGAGGCAATGAACAGTAGATGGTACCATGCTAGCAGCCTGGGCCGTCGGTCTCATGGCCCCCGATAACACAGGCCGCTCTCCGGGAAACCCACAGGGCGGGAATGGACCATTTACTCAGATGACCCATCCTCGTCCGCGTGCACCTGTCATGGCCGTGACACTGACAAACGTGCAAAGGCCCCCAAAGGCCCACTTCTGCCTCAGTCTAGGACACCCCTTCAGAATGGGGTGGGACGGGGGGGGCTCTAACTTGCTGGGTCCCAAACTGGGTATTAACAGACTGTCAAATCATAATTTAATGTTCTTACTTTTCATTTAATCACAAAAGAAAGGTATTTTAACACTTGTTTTGAAAGAAGTGGAGAGGATAGAATAAAAGACCATCCTTCCCAATATCAATTAGTGATAAAGATCCAGCGAGGGGCAGCTTTGGGGGCAAGTGACTGAAAGGGGCACCAGGAGGCCTGGGAGGCACTGGTCAGATGCGAGCCCCGGACTGGGCAGCCGTCACGGAGATACGGTGCACAGAGAAACGTACCGAGCCGTACATCTGGGAGGAGGGCACTGACGCGCCTAAGTTACACCTACATGGAAAAAGTCAAGTAAATGAGGCACAAGTCAGACATTGAGCTCACAGAAGCTCATGCACTTGGGGCCACTCTTCCAAACTCAAATTCCAGCTCTACCCCTTGGTATCTGTGTGACTTTGAACCAAGTGCCTCACCTCCCTGTTCCTCAGTCTCCTCATCTCAGAAATGGGGATAATGACACTTAGCTCAAAGAGCCTGGGAGGCGCTCAGGAGTCAATGCATGTGAAGCCTGCACGTAGCTCCAAAGTCAGTGGTGTTTGCTGTTCTTCCAAGAAACTGCAGCTGCCAACTCTGAACTGAAACATAAACGAGATGAAACAACTTCAAATTAAGAAAACGTAACGTGACATTTTACAGGATCAATCACATTGTACAATACTGCTTTCTTCTACAAGCTTATTAGAGGCTCTATATATGGTTACTCATTTATTATTCAACCAATATTTACCGAACGCCACCAGCTTCAGAGACTGTTCCAGACAGTGGGAATAAAGCAGTGAATTAGACAAAGTCTCCATCCTCATGAATTTACATTCTCCTGTGGGAGATAGTCAGTAAACTAAATAAGCAAAAAAATATATAATACAATGTCAACAGAGAACACCAATCAGGAGAAACACCAACAGATCTACATGTAGACGTACCATGTTCAAACTGCAGAAAAATCAACACAAAGAACACATCTTGAAAGAAGCCAGAAGGAAAAAAATGTTTCACCTGTGAAAATGGATAAGAACTACATCAGACCTTCTTTAGACACTGTGCAAGCAGGATTAAAGTGGAATGAAATGTTTAAAGTGTTGAAAAAAAAATACGTCCCAATCTAGAATTCCGGATCCAGTGAAATTATCCTTCCAAAGGAAAAGAGAAATGAAGACGGTCTCAGACAACCAATGTCAATTGCGGTAAGTGCTGTGAGGAAAAATAAAGCAGGGTGGGGGTGCCTGGCTGGCTCAGTCGGGAGAGCATCTGACACTTGATCTCAGGGTCATGAGTTCGAGGCCCACATTGGACGTAGAGATGACTTAAAACAATAATAAAGAAAGCAGGGTGAAGGGTTAGAGAATGGTGGGGGGAGGCACTCTCTCAGGGTGGTCAGGAGACCTCTCTAAGGGGGTGCCATTTCTGTGGAGACCTGAATGAAGTGAAGGATGGAAGCAGGAGCTGTGTGCAGATCAGGGAGAGAGAGCCACTGGCAGAGGGGACAGCAGGGGCAATGGCCCTGAGGTGGGAGGGTGGGCATGTTGGGGCAACAGAAAGAAGTCATCATGGCTGGAGCACAATGAGCCCAGGGCAGAGGCTGTGAGGTGAGGAAGGAAAGGCACAGGGCCCGAGTCATGGAAGGACTTTGAACTGAGAGGTGATACAATCAAGATGTATGTCTTCAAACCCCACCCTTGGCTCTGGTGTGTGGAGAACGGAGAAGAGCTGCAAGGCATCGTCCAGGCCAGAGATGGTGGGGCGTGGACCAGGACAGCAGTAGAAAGGAGGGGGAGTCACTGGATTCTGGGTATGTTTGGAAGGTGGAGCCAACAGAACAATGGATGGATCTGAAATGGGATGCGAGGAAGAGAAAGGGGCCAAGTGGATATTCTGGCCTGAGCAACCAGAGAGCCGCAGCTGAGAGCAGCCTGCAGCTGCGATGGGGGACCTGGGACAGAAGCAGGTCTGTGGCTGGGCTGGGGCGGGGGGCGGGGGGCAAACAAGGCTCTCTTTGGCCATGTTGAGTCTGAGACGCCTGTGAGGCCTGCAAGCGGACAGGACAACTGGACAGCCAGACATACCAGTCTAGGCCTCAGGGGAGTAGGCAGAGCTGAAAATATCGTTCGGGAATTGTCACCAGCAGGAAGTGTAGCTCAAATGCCCTGCTTGTTCTCATGCTTGGGGCTTTCTCATCCTCATTATGGAAAATTCCCCATTGCTCTGCTAAGCAAAGTGGAAACAGTCTTTCTAGGGTTGTCTCATTCAAGTTGGAACATTCCAGGCAATGTCCGAGGAGGCGAGACCAGCGCCCCTTGTCTCCAGCAACTCCGCCGGTCCTCCTCCTGTGGCCCGAAGAGCATGGCTCTGCCGAGCAGGTGTCTGCGACGTGGGGCTCCTGGGAAGATATGGTTGGAATGAGCGGAGAGGGATGCTTCGGTTCCTGCAGGGCAGGCCCACTCGGAGCCCCTGGGCGGAACCTGCAATAATCTTCGATGGTGCCCAGAAGAGTGAGAAAATCAGTCCTCTCCAATTCCCTTTCATTTCTGATTACAATGTGTCCTTTAAATAACAGGGGCATCTAACACTGGCCACTAACAATGTGGCCAATGGGAGAGAGAGCCCTTGCTAACATTCCTGTTGTAGGAAAGAAAGCAAATCTTTGGACTCAGAGCCTCCTACGGGCAACTCTAGCTACAGTGGAATCACACTGCTATGCTTTTGTGTTATTTATCTTTATGGCCACTTCCTGTTTATGACAAGTGCTACTATTGTCCCATTGATGATAAGGATATAAAATTTCCTTTTAAAAGATATCTACGTGTGTGCATATGCATACGCATGCACGTGTGTGTCGTGAGTTCCCGTAAAGAAAACCGTTAATAGTACAAATGTGGCCCAAATCATGAAGGTGCTACTTCCATGACTAAAATCTGAAAAAAACATGGCTCTCAAAGATGCAGGAGTGAGAATAAGAGCCTGGAGCCTCATGTTCATACACAGAGGTTGTAATCCCCCAAGCCGCCCCAAGATCGAAGGTGGGAACATTCTCATTTCCCTCCATAGCCCCGGCGGGCAGTACATCGATAAGACTCCCTCTTCCGTGTTGTGTTTGCCACCACCGGGTTTCACCCAAGGGGAAAAGTCTCTGAACATACAATTCTCACCATCTCAAGGCCATAAAATCGATGTTGTTACCGATGATAGCTCTCCAAGTGCTGCAAATTCAGGAAATGCCCTTTGAATCAGCAAAGCTGGGGCGCCTGGGTGGCTCAGTCTTTAAGCGTCTGCCTTCGGCTCAGGTCATGATCCCAGCGTCCTGAGATCGAGCCCTGTGTTAGGCTCCCTGCTCAGCGGGGAGTCTGCTTCTCCCTCTGCCCCGCTCTGCCCCTTCCCCTGCTCATGCTCTCTCTCTCTCTCTCTCTCAAATAAACAAAATCTTAAAAAAAACTTTAAAAATGAATCAGCAAAGCTTAGGACGCGCCCTTTAAGTATGAGCTGCATCTGGTCACACTTCTAACTCATGGAGACAGATGTTCTGGACAATAACATCCGTAAATGGGGCGAAATTCATAAGTGGGTCTGGGCATGACTCGGGGTCTTCAGCAGAGCCTGGCCCGGGCCAGACCTAAGAGGTCTCTGTGTATTGGAGGGTCCACACACAGCTGCCTGCCGAATCAGAGGACAGCAACTGTGTGGGGTCCACAGACCCAGGCAGAGAACCAGCTCAGAATGTGGATAGAAGATACTCAGAAGCCAGTCCTGCTGACCTCCTGGGACCCTGTAGAAGCTGCCACTCCCCTTCCCTGGAGCCCTTTGGGCCCAGCGATATTATCCCATAAGTAGGAAGTGTGGGTCCTGGGTTCTCAGCACCTCCAGCTGCGGCTGGGCTGAAGGAGGCACAGCTGTCTGGCCTGAGGCTGTGTCTCTTGTGAAGGAGAAACATCCGGCCAATTCCATCAAGAATGTCAGTCACAGTGCAGGGGAGGAATCGGTCAGTTCAGCCGTCCTGTGTGCAGCACTTGCATTCGGGGAGCTGGCGCCTGGACCGCCCTCGGCCGGACGGGGAGAGGCCCATCTCCCATGGACTGAGGCCGGGTCCCAAAGGTCCGCTCCCCCATAGAGCCTAGGGCTGGTGGCCCGCAGCCTGGGGGCGGCACAGGGACTCTGGGATGGGACCCAGGATGTGGAGACTCGAAGGCTCAGGGGGGAAAGATATGCAAAGGTGAAAGGGCAAACCTGTTTCCAGTCTCCTTATCAGGAACAGCCGAGTGAAAGGGAAGCGGGCCGCCCTGGAGGTCAGGCTGGGGGCCATTGCGGGGGCAGGGCCCGGCCCAGGAGACCTCAGAGGAGACCTGCTGGGTGGGGGAGAGAGAGAGAGAAAGGGAGGATGGAGGGAGGACCAGGGAGGAACCAACCGCAAGGACCTTTGCCAAGGGGAGGAGCCGCTAGGGTGGCCAAGCATCCAGGTCTGCCTTCCTGCGATACAGGACTTCCATGTTGCAGACCAGATGTTTGGTCACCCCGGCAGCAGCCCCAGCTAGGGGACTGTCAGAGTCCCCCACACTGCACACCGTCCCGGGCTCACCCCACCACCCTGTCTGAATGCCTTCTTACTCCTCCATCCAATGCTAAGGAGTGCCTACTCCACGCTAGGCCTGCTGCCAGGCACTGCAGGTTCGGCCCTGAAAGGACAGACTCGCCCCCTGCCGTCCAGAACTTGTCCATTATGCACCTCTCAGAGCCCAGGCAGAAGGCCCACTCCCCACCCACCACCTGCTCAGCCGGCGCACCACACGGGACTTCCAGGGTGGGCATGTCTCTGGGAGACATCTTTTCTGTCTACCCCACCAAACCCCCCGGGAGGTGGGAGGGGGACTGCTTCTAGCTCATGGCTCTACCTCCCACTGTGCCCAGCATAGGCTCCTATGCAGGACAGGTGGTTTGGATTGAGGGGCTAAGGTACTGAGGACGGCTGGAAGGGGGACACCTCAGCAATCTGAAAGCCCACAGCCCATCATGCACGCCACCTCACCAGCATACCCACATATGCACACGGGGCACACCTAGCCTGTGAGGGCATTCCCCCGAACCCAGCACAAGGGGGCCCCACCCTTCCCAGCTGGGGAGTGGGAGGGAAAACACAGCAGGCCTGAAGGCAGACCCAGCCTAGGTTGGGGAGGATGGTCCCTGAGATGAAAGGTGGGAGGATCAGAGCCAGCTTTTCCCCCAGCTAAAAGGCCTTCTTCCTGGGCCCCACCTGCAGGGAGCCCACGACAGCCACTGTGCCCCATGTGTGTCTGGGGGCATCATGGGGAGGCAGAGCCAAGCCTAGCCTCCTTCGGCCTCGGTCCTTGCAGCCGGAGAAGCCAGTGGGGACCCTGAGGGGAGGCCAGGCAGCTGGAGCACATCAAGGACTGCTGAGGGTGGTGCTGGAAGAGGCGAGGGGTTCCACTACAGCTCCCAACAGACTCAGCTGCTCACTTAAGGAGCAGGGATTTGTACCACCAAAGTCACCATGGGACTGTAAGCCTCTTGCAGGCAGGGGCTGTATTGCATTCATCTTAGTCTTCCCAACAGGGCAGCGCTTAGAGCAGGACTACGGCCAAAATCAAGCCTGGCCCTCAGAGAACAGGACCCCACGTTTCTGTCCTGCCCCCTGGTGGCAGTTTGTTGTATTGCAACTCACAGGATCTAACAAGGGGGGGCCGTTCTGACAGCGGCTGAGCTCAGCCCCCTGGACACCCCCATCTTTGAGATGGTCTGAGGTATCATTAGGATAGGGCCCCTGGGTGTTCTGGGAACAGCTGGAACCCAGCCACTCCCAACCAGCTGGGGAGTTGGAGAAAAGAGCAGGATGTGGGAAGATAAGGCCAGAGAAAACGGCAGCCTGGCACCTGATGTGCGCTCTAGCCACAGGCCACAGACAGACAGGGAACGTACAAAAGGGACTTGGCAATTTTTTCATCGAAACTCAGGTGTCCAGGATCGGATTCTGGCTTAATCACCATCTTTGGTTCCTGATGCACTCTCATGCTTTCATTATATGGTTCACTTAGCTATTTTTCCATCATGCACAAGCACCTATGAACCAGGGATTTTCTTTCTTTTAAAGCAGCACAACCCCCTTTTATCCCAAAGGAAAATTTTTTTTTTAAGATTTTATTTATTTATTTGACAGAGAGAGACACAGCGAGAGAGGGAACACAAGCAAGGGTAGTGGGAGAGGGAGAAGCAGGCTTCCCGCGGAGCAGGAAGCCCGATGTGGGACTCGATCCCGGGACCCTGGGATCATGACCTGAGCCAAAGGCAGACGC